GGGGTGGACAGGACAGGCCCTCAGTCCTCTCAGCTCTGCTCTTGGTGTTCCTGCTACGCTCGCTCACCCCTCCCTCACTTCTCTCTCCCTCTCCCATTCTTTCTTCCTCCTTCCCACTCTCAGCAACACCCACAAACTCCCAGCAGAGCTGTCTCTGGGGACACCTAGGTAGATTATTCATGGCAGGCAGACTGTCCCTCTCCACGGTGGCTCGTCTCCTGTTACCTCCCCAGGCTCTTACCAGCAGGACCAGGATCATGGGGCCCTGGTAGATGTAGTCAGTGTACACTCCAGGACGTTTGCCAAACCAGCACCTAGAAGGCCCAGAAGGAAAAGGAAGGGAGGGGTCAGCAGGATCCATTAAGTGGCACAGTGCTTGATCATAGGGCAATGCCTGGCCACAGCAGGATCAATGCCAGTGGCCAGAAAAGGGCACCCCAGCTTCCAAGAAACCCAAGCCAGCAGACTCTGCTTCACTGCCTCAGTGATCTTATCAGCAAAGAGGATGGTGCCCTCTGCCATGGTCCTATCTACCTGCAAAGTGCATGGTATCCTCCACTGTGGGATGTTGGCCTAACTACTGCAAAGGGGTTGGTACCCTCTGTCGTGGGATGTGGTCCTATCTATCTGCAAAGGTGATGGTATCCTCTGCCGTGGGATGTCCTTTCTGTAAAGTGGATTGTACCCTCTGCTGTGGAAAATGAAATTGGAGTAAACTCTGTGAAGAGAAGGCCTCCCAGAGGCCATCACCCTCATCCACGCAGTTTTGACTATTTGTAAGAGACCCTCAGGATGGAACCAACTGTTGACATTCCCTCATAGAAAGGGGAAGTAGGGAGAGAGGGGTTGCCTGAGATTCCAGCCATTGCCTCCTATGCCTCTAGGCTAGCTGTATATAATTCTGCCCTGACTGCACAAAGCCTCATGTCTTAAGAGGGGCTGGCATTACAGAGGTAACTTGGGGTGAGACTCCATTTATGTAGCTATAGGGACGTCATACCCATGCTGTGGGGAGACTTTTTAGTGGCCTGGCTACTTTGAGGTCACCTATGCTTCTATAAATAACCCTTTGCCTACGTCCTGTAAGCAATCCCAGTAAATTTACTGGCTCCCCCAGGGGGACTTCAGTGAACTGCATCTGAGTTTGTCGTTGGACCCCTAAGGAAGGAGTAGCTGCTTGTTTGTGTTTCTCAGGGAAAGAATTCTCAAAACAGCAAGCCAGAAACTTTCTGGATCCTGGCCTAGCACTGCTTTCTCTGGCACCCACTCAGGGACTCTAGTAGTGGCTGTGTACACGTTCACTGCCCTGCCACCCAGGTGGTTCCTAACAGCTGGCAACTTCTGTCGGACTCCATCGGAGAGCAGCCTGTGCAGGGGAGATTTCACAGCTAACATGTATGATATGACAAGAACTAGGGTTGCTTTGCAGTCTCCTGAGCTGCCCTTCAGCAAGCTCCGGGGAGTAGATAATTGGAAGTCCTGTGTCGCCATGGACACATGGGCTTTGAGATGGATGTTTCTTCAAACGAGAATGTGAAGTTTGAAGATATGACCTCTGTCTCTAACAGGTTTGTTTAAAGCCACCGTTTGTGGGCTCCAAGCTGGGGCCCTGGGGCTTCTCTTCCCATGTTCACACACCCAGAATCCTTCTGCTGCACTGCCTGCATCTGTCCACCAGATGGCGCTTCAGGGCTGCTCACGTCTAACTTGCTTTTTAGTGGTACCCTTTCTGCTCCAGGGTGGAAAGGGGGGCCACGGGGCTTTCCCAGCCCCTCTCTTTCTTCTCTCACTCAAGTTTCCCCCTCCCCCACCCATCTCCTGTACTCACACTTTCACATCCTACAAAGCACAGGCAACCCCACTCAGGAATTTCCAAGAGGATACCCAGGAACACTCCACACCCACTTAGGAACTGGATCCCTGCAGCCTCCTACCTACTCTGCTGCTGTGCAAACACTCCAGCCGGAGGCAGAAGGAACTACTTTCACAAATGTGGACGACACACTTCCAGACTCCTAGTGCAGCCCAGTGAGAGGAAGGGAGGGACTGCCACTGTGAACCCAAAGTCACCAAGTCAGGCAGCTGGGATCTGGGAATGCTGATGGGGCACAGGTACTGGCTTCTGCCTTGCCTGGCTCCTCCCACCTTCTCTCTGTCTTTCTGTGAAGTTCTCAATCTTAGCTTCACACTAGAAGCACCCTGTTCCCACAGCATAGAGCTCTGAGGTACAGAACTTCCTAGATCTTCCCATTGGATTCTTGTAAGGGGCAGCTGGGATGCCCCCCACCCCAAGCTGTGACTTCAGGGTTGACTAGGAATGCACTAGTGTCCTTTCAAACAACCCAAGGCTTCAGAGAGAAGCTGGGAGAGTCTTTGAAACCACCTGGACTAGTTCCCATTAAAGCCATAGAATCTTATTGTAAAACACACCTTGCTGGGCAATAAACACTTGGGTAGCATTTACTGGGCTCTAGGTTCTATTCTATGTGCTTAGAATACTGGGCTGCACTCCATCTTCCCTACAGCTTTGAGGCAGTAGCTAGAATGAAGATACCCATTTTACAGATGAGGGAACTAAGGCCTGCTGCGACAGCCCCTAGGTCACATAGCTACTTAGTGATAGCACAATTCACAACCTGGGATGCCTGAATTCTGGTTTTGCTCTTCTTAAAACTCCAGACAGGTGACCCTGGCTGCCTAGCTCCGCCTTTGGCAGAGCACTGGGAAGGACCCTTGAATTTAGGCCAGTGTTCAGCTCTGCCTCTGTTGATGCAGAAGCCGCTGTCTTTACAGGACAGACAATGGCCAAAGCCCCCCGGGGAGTGTGCTGAAGGCTCTGACCTCACAAAGTGACTTACTTTTCATTGTCGTAGTACAGCTTCCCAATGGCCCATGCCACAATGATGGGGAAAGGTACACCTAAGAGAGAGAGGGGGGCTGTCACTGAACCCTTTGATGGAAGACCCCAGGGCAGTCCAGGACATATAGTAGAGCAGGGATTTCTGGGGGTTGAGCTCTGACGCTTCCTTCATGGTGATCCCACTATTCTCATCCCTAAGAAGGGTGCACACACCTCCCTCCCCACCCGGCCAGCCCACGTCTCCTCCTCGGTGAGGAGATGCAGGGGAGGGGCTGGCTCAGCTCACCCCAGCCAATACAGATGAACATCCACTTGCGTAGGCGGTCAGTGGAGTATGTGAGCACGATGGCCGTGTGCAGGTAGCAGCCTTCGCCAAACATCCAGAAGAAGTTGGTGACATGGAAGTAGTTGTAGGCAGCTGTCACCAACCTGCACCATGCCTGCCCAACCAGAGATGACCATGAGCTTGGGGGTGGTCAATTATAGTGCCCCACCCTCAGGTTCCTTGGGGTCCTCCTCTTGTTCTGTGGGTACTCAGGCCTGCCCCCTTTAAACTTTATGTGCACTGCTGTGAGGGTGTCAGATCCCCTGGGACTGGAGTTACAGACGGTAGTGAGCTGCCATGTGGGTGCTGAGAATTGAACCCAGATCCTCCGGAAGAGCAGCCAGTTCTCTTAACTGCTGAGCCATTTCTCCAGCCCTTCTACAGGGTAGCCCCACTCTAGCTCCTTTGACCCAGGCTTGGCCTTTTCTGTCTCCCTAGCTGGGACGCACCACATTGCTCTGGTGGACCTCGGGGCTCATGGTGAGCTGGACCACAAACCACGTGGCATTGCGCAGGATGAAAGCCGAGATGAGGTTCCAGTGGATGATGTTTCTCAGGCACCGGATGCTCCTGGGGCAGCAGCAGAGGGCAGGTGGCAGAGAGAAGGGCAGGATGAGGGCAGGTACCAGCATCATTCCAGCCCAGATGCAAGATGGAAAGACTACATCTTGGTGTGAGTGGGGCTGATAGGTTGCCCTGAGCTCCACAGGTCCATTCCTATCTGGGGCCACTAAGACATCCACTGCTGGTGGAGCCTGGTGTTGTCAGAGATTCCCGCTTTGTTCTGCACACCCCAGGAATGAAAGGCAGGGGACTGGCAAAAAGGAGAGACCTCTAACAGTAAGACCCCCTCAACTTTCAGCTCCTGGCCCCACCCACTCCCAGCTTTTTCCCATCACTTTGGCCATGCACATTTGACCTTGAGCCAGGGATGTCACTCTGTGGAACTCTCACCTCCCGGGATCTACCTGCTTGATAACCACAAGCGGGATGAGGACCAGCTTTAGGAATTGGCAACATGGGGGAGCCTGGGCTTTGTCCCTTCCCACTCTCCTTCCCCCAGCAGCTGCTGAGGGAAAGGACAGATGTGGCTCTGTCAGAGGTCCTAAGAAGCAGGAGATTCTCTACCACTCAAGTGAGAAGTAGGTTACCATTTTGTCAGCATCCTCATCCCGGAGCTATGCCTGCATCTTATCTGCCTCCCCCTGCACGTGCTTAAGGGCCCAGGGAATAATAGGAGGCAGTTCCCGAGCCTTCTCACCTAAGACGCAGAAAGAGGACAAAGGCCACCAAGAGGGCTACCAGGGAGATGCAGTGGCCCAGGTAGTTGATGATGACGGCAATGTGATAGTGCACTTTGCTTTTCTTCTGAGGCAGGAGAGAGAGAGAGACAGAGGTGAGACCCCCACACCCATACCTCCACACACATTGAACTAAACAGCTCCGTGAGGGCAGCACTAGCACCGGGGAGGGGTGTTAGGGGAAACAGTAGGAAATGGTAACGGGTTTGCCCTGCCCCAGAGCAACCCTGTGAGCCATGTGCTAGTAGCACCATCCACTTGGGCCAGCCTGTCTATGAATCCAGTCTGTCTGCCATGCTGTGCAGTCAGACAGATACGAGTTGAAGCTGCACCCATGTCACACAGGGATTCCCGTGTCACTTAACAAACACTGTACCCACCCACACATGTATTCCTGTGCTCACAGATGCTCATGCCTCGTTCAGTCCTGACACCATAGGCTGCAGTGGGTGCAGAGCCTCTAGCCCCCCTCCCGCGCCCCAAGATCGCATTCCTCATTCATGTCTGAATTGAGTCTGGGTCTGGCTGCAGAAGGACCTGGATTTTGGATCCCTGGTGCCCACATGAAAGCCAAGTGTGACTGTTGGAATCTGTAATCTCAACAGGGTGTCAGAGACAGGCAGATCCCTGGAGTCCTAGTCTGCCATCCCAGTGACACTTTCAGCTTCAGGATTAGTGAAGAGATTCCTGCCTCAAAAAAAAAAAAAAAAAGGTAGATAACCATTGGGGAAAAACAAAACCTTACATCTACCTCTGAACTCCACAGTACACATGGATGTGTGTTTCCCCCCATGTGTATATATATGAACACATGCATGTAGTATACATATACCCCTGGAAGAAAGGAAGGAAGAAAGGAAAGAAGGAAGGAAGAGAGAAAGAAAGAAAGAAAAATCCCTCACCCCCAGAGCTTTTCCCTATTCCTTGCCTGGCTCAGGGGCTGCTGCAAGTGAAACTTTATTCTCTCCCTTCTTAGACTTCCCTCTTTCTGGATAGTAGAAATTGAACCCAGGGCCTTGAGCAGACTAGGCAAGTGCTCTGCCAACTGTGAGCTACATCCTCAGCCATCCTGATTTTTTTTTTAAAAAAAACATTCTAATTACATTTACTTATTCAATGTGTGTTTGTGTGTAGGAGCATGAGTATGATCATGTGTGTGGAAGTTAGGGACAACTTGCCCAAGCCAGGCCTCTCCTTTCACCAGGTGATTCTTGGGATTAAACTCAGTTCACACTTGGTGGCAAGCACCTTTCCCCACTGAGCCATCTCTCTGGCCCCTTTCTTTCTTAACTATTCAGTTATGGATATGCCATGGAAGCTGCTTGCACATGTGTGCAAGCCTCCCCACTCAGCGCCTCCCTCATCTTAAAGCCTCAGAGTAACTCTGTGGGAAACGCTGGAGACACATCCGTGACTTCCTCTGCCAAAAAAGAAACCCAGAGGTATGCTGACTTGTTCAAGATTAT